AATGCCATATCTAATATAATAATGTCTGTATCTAATTTTTCAAATAATTGCAAAATATTACCCATTACTATCTTTGCTCATCTAATAATATTAAAATTTATGGCGTACATTAATTATACATTAATTTAATTTCTTATTTCTAGGTTGCAAACAGGTTTCAGTGAATCAGAAGTTTTACAAATTTTTTGTGACGTTTGTGAAGCTGTGTCAAGATTGCATCACTGTCAAACGCCCATAATTCATAGAGATCTCAAGGTGAATTACTTAATTAATGGATATTATGTAATGTCACTGGAAATATCGTGAGCTACGTTTAATTGTCTTGCGATAGGTGGAAAATATATTGCTCGCTGACAGCGGTCATTACGTTTTGTGTGATTTTGGATCTGCGACGGGAAAGGTTCTTAATCCCGGTGTTCACGGTGCTGCTGTAGTCGAGGAAGAAATAAAGAAATACACCACTTTAAGCTATAGAGCACCTGAAATGGTTGATATGTACTGTGGAAAGCCTATTACTACAAAAGCAGATATTTGGGTGAGTAATACATATTACTTACGTTTATATGTATATACATTGTGATATTCCTTTATTTTAAAAGTGACACAATTCAAAATTAAGTTCCTCGGAAAGAAGGAAAAATTATTTTTTAATTTGACAGAAAATTATTGACTGACAAAATAATATTGGCAAAAAAGAATATGTTTTAACATGATCAAATGTCATTTTCGTTTTACAACTTTAAAAAGCTATCTTTCGAGACGATTTTTTTATTTTGTAAAATTACCCATTTGGAGTCGCGAAGATTTTTTTAAAGAAAGTTACATATATTCTGGACGCCGAAAAATTGATCATTATTTTGGGATTTTTTCAAAAAGAGAGTAAAATTAAAATATTATAATAATTTAATATTATTTCTTGATATATTAGGTGTGGGAAAAAGTTCGTGGCATTTTTTAATGCCATCTAATGGGAAAAACGCCACGAACTTTTTCCCATACCTAATATTATTTATATAAAAAAATTTTCAATTTGGTTATATATGGACTTTGTAATTTCTGCAGCCACCACACGAAAATTTCTACAGAAAGTTAAGATGTTCCATGAGCAGCATCCTAACTTCCTCTAGAAATACAAAAATATTAAAATTTCAATATTGTTTTCTAAATTAATGTCCTAAGGGCCATTGGCTTATTTTTTTAAATTTGATTTTTAATACTTTTCTAATAAGTTTAAAAGTCTGAATTTTAGATGAAAAATTGATTTTTTTTCCAAATGGCTTAATTTTATTTTTCATAAATTCCAAAGCCGATGGTCCTTAGTTACAACATTATTTTAGAAGACAATACTGGAATTTTAATACTTTTTAGACCCAGTTTTTCATTATCATTTTATTAATTTGTGGTAAGTTGGTAAAACCTGATGTTTCATTTAATGAATTTCATCATAGATAAAGCCCTTTTAAGGGTTAAGCCTAACCATAAATTAACCAGATAATAAAAAATCGAGCCTTAATAATTTTTCCATAAAAAGTTAGAATGTTGCTTATAGAGCCGGGATTTTTTGCAGATTATGGAAATTATTTATAATCAAATTGGACGGAATAATTTTTTATATAAATAAAATATTAAAAAACGTGAAATTATTAATTTTTTAATTTATTTTATTCTTTGCCCAAAAAAAATATCTCAAAATACGTCAATTTGGCGTTGAGCCATTGAAAAAAGGTATTAAATTTTAATAAATAATTGTTTGAAATATTAATATGATATTTATTTATGAAAAACAAATTTATTTGTTAAATAAAAAAATTTAATTAATCAAATGAACGATTTTTGTATCAAATAAATATATGTACATATAAATATATGCATATTACATTTAATAAATATTTAACTGGCACTATTCAAAACCAATATTTATTACATTTTACTTTCAGTGTATGTAACCCTTCAAACTATTTTTTTTGTGAGTTATTATGATTTTTTTACTTTTTTTAAATCTGTTTAAAATTGTTATGATTCACTTTTTTGAAATAAAAATTAGAAGTCATAATGTTTTTCAACGATTTTTTTAGAAATTAGTTTATTTTTTATAATATATTGATAAGATAATATTTGTCTAAAGATGTGTTCAAATTATCGAATATTGAGTCGAAGCCGCGAGTATTTCGGTAAATATTTTATTGTCTTTTGCCAATGTTACGTAATAAATGCTTAAGATTCGGCTCGATAATCTGGACTTTAATTCATTCATGCTAATAATTCGAAAATTGTTTTTTAAATGTGTTATTTTCAAAGGAAGTGATATGCAAATAAAATTAAGAAAATCTTATCGGCGAGTCTTTTACATACAATTTCTGTCTTTCAGGCTTTAGGATGTTTGTTGTATAAACTCTGCTTTTTTACACTACCGTTTGGCGAAAGCACGCTTGCCATACAATCTGGAAATTTCACTATACCGGATAATTCAAGGTATGTGAAAAATTATGTAGACACAAATTACTCCAATTTTAATTACTTAACGAATTAATTTAACTATTTAATGAATAAAGTAAATGAGTAAAGTAAATGAATAACATATATATATATTAAGTAGATTGGATAAAATATTTTTATGTTACAGATATAGTAGAGCACTCCATTGTTTAATTCGATATATGCTTGAGCCAGATCCTGACATACGTCCTGATATTTATCAAGTTTCCGCAATTGCTTTTCAAATTCAGGGCAAAGAGTGCCCTGTGCAAAATTTACATGTATGTACATTGTAATACTTAAACAACTATATAATAGTATTGCAAATTTATATCAAACATGTCTCTTACTTTGTACTTTTTTTTTTATAACTTACGTTAGTTTTTGCTACTTTATCTTTACAGAAAATCCCAATTCCAACGATAGATTCGTTATCATGCCCACCTATGGAATCCGAAAATATTAAAAGATCGGCATCTGTAAAAACTCCGAAACCTACGCCTATAACGACGGTTGAGGGCACATCTGTGACGCCGAGGCAAAGACCAAAGGGGCAAGCCGTTAGCGCGGGACCGATCAATTTGAGTGGTCAAATCGTAGGACAAATATCAGGTCAAGGAAATCAGACGCAAACTACGCCGTCAAATTCTATCTCTTATGTTCAAGTAAGGTTAACAAATCGATTGCGTACTCGATTTCTCTGCTTGAAAATGTTTAAGCAATCTTTAGCAAACTCTTAATATAATCGTTTCGTTCTATCAGGTATCGCCACACGTTTGCACCCCCAGTCAAAATGTTCCCTTTGGCCAGTCGCAGGGACAACCGTCGCAGTACGGTCAATCACAGAGCCCAATGATCAGTCATTCTCCTTTAACTCAGCAGTCACCCGTTACTGTTCAAGATAAAAATGCATTTTACTTCGATTCGAGGCAGCACGATGCGAGAGCTACGACAAACATGAACGAGAAAAATTTGGAAGCTCTATTTCCGCCGTCAGGTAATCTAAGTAACGATACATCTAAGTACCACGAAGTAAAAGCAAATAAAGTAAAAATGATCAAATGATCTTTTTTTCACATTGCCGCTTTTACAGGATATCCAGATCCATTCAAGGATGATGCGAGAGCAATGCCGCCACCTGCCAAAATACCACCTCCTGTTGCACCGAAACCCGGCAAGATTCTTCCGAAACTATCTAATCCTAGTTATCCATCGTCATCCAAATATCCGCCAGTCACTTCATTACCGTCGAAATTATCCATTCCGACAGGGCCTAACAAGGCGATTCCACCAACGGTGACGCCACCGGCTTTGCCGAAACCGGTTAATAAGACAGAAAGTTTGAGTCAAAATATAAGTTCGAGCATATCTCCGCCTGACAGTCCGACATTATCGTCCTCACGTCATAGGAGAAACGTCAGTGACACGAGTGCTTTTAATAAGTAAGTCTCTATATTTAAAATTCTTCTTTTATATCTTATATCTATAGGATTTTATGAAAATTTATAAAATTTATTATTATAATATTAGGGAATATTAGGGATGCACTGGATCACAAAATTATCGGATATCCGGTATCCGATCGAATATCCGAGAAGGCAATTTCTTCGAGTCAGATATTCGACCGGATTCCGAGAAAGTGTCTTCTAAAAAAATAAAAAGAACTTGTAGCAAAAAGATTGTAATTTTGCAACAATGTATGAAATATTATAAATAGAAATATTATGAATGCATATTTATTTTTGGAATATTTGTATAAGAAAAAATCAACAATTTAATGATCAAAGGACCCTACACAAATCTTATGGAAATTGAATTTCGGTTGAATTGTCTGAAAATTTGATATGTTGTAGATCTTGTCGACAAAAAGTCTCCCTGTAATGAATCGTTTGATCTCTACGAGGCGTCATTTTTCAAAACGGGCTAATACTACAATATCTTATTTTCAACGAGTATGATGCATTTCTACGTTATTATTCTTTCTGTGTATATTTTTAAGTAAAAAAATTACAAGGATAAGATTGACTTAATTGTTTGTTACAAAAAAGCTGTAAGGATATCGAAGTCGATAACTTGATTTTTGAGATTTAAGTCAACGCTGTATTGCTTTAGGTCTAGAGTGCGAAATTTTTGGCACGATTATGGAGTGCACACGAAGAACTGCTGCACGTTTATTTATATTGAGTAGACCGTGCCAGTCGAATTTATTATTGTTATGTCATTTCAGTGAACATCTGACTTGTACGTAGCGAATCTTTGTACGCATCCCGAGATCGTGCTTGAACTCCTGCGATCTATTAATTCTTTTCAGAGCTTCTTTAAGGGAATCCTAAAGATGTCTGTTTTATCACGTAAGCACACGTATAATTTTTGTATAAGAAATACTTTTTTTCTCTTTCACCGATTCGAAAATCCTTTTCCCAGAATTAAAGTATACACATTACACAATACGTGTCTGGAAAGTGGAGTATATGCTGAGAACGATAACAAATTTCGAAATTGATATATTTTTTACCATCTTAGTGTAACATGGCGTCAAGTTAGCTGTCAAGTTGTGATAAGATTTGATATAAAAACTTTGAAACCTGTACGTACGAAATAATGATATCCAGACACATAATTTACACGAACAAACAACTTCGAGTTCTTAGAATTACTTAGATGCTTTATCGCGATGAATTTCTTATACGAAAATTGACACTGTGTGACTGCCTGTATCATAGGTTGCGTGAGATATATTGTTGTGATAGTATAAAAAGACATGTCGATGTGTGGTGCGCGGCGCGACCTCTAATGATTTCGTCGGAGTTTGACCTTTACTTTAGACTTCCCTTTAAATCAGTTGTTTTCATAATTATTTTTACAAACAATTCTTTTAGAGCTATTTTTTACAACAGTTGTTTTTATAATTACTCATATTAGTTTTTATCAATTAAATATTTCTTTTTTGTAAGAAAATTATTTTTTTAATAATAAAAATTCATTTTTTAATTAAATCTTGTAATACAAAAATCACAATAATCAAAAGCACCCTGATTTGTGAGAAACAATTAAATGAATTTATATTATTATCCTTATAACTTTTTACTTAAAAATATACATAGAAAGTGCAAATAATGACGTAGGAATGCATCGTACACGTTGAAAATAAAAAAAATAGAAATTATAGTATTAATCCATTTCGAAAAATGATATGGAGGTCAAACGGTTCATTTTTATTACAGTTGTGCCTGTGGAGACTTTTTATCAGGCCGATCTATAACATATTTATATTTTAAGAATATTCCTCTTCGTAAGATCTAAATATCTAAGATATTTTTATTTATATATTTATATATTATAATCATCGTTTCGACATTTACAGAGCATTTGCAACTGAAACCACTCAATTCTTAGCGCCATATGAGGCTTCGGTCAAGCCACGTTCAGATGATCCAACTACGCCACCAGAACTTCCAAGTGACACAAGGCCTTGTATAGCAACTAGTGCTTCGCATGTACGTGTTGTAAGTACATAAAGCGCACAATTTTATATTTATTTTTGTTGAACGACGTTGACAAAATACGAATCGCGTTTTACATTATTGGAAAAATTTCCGTTCTATATTTACTATAAGTTTAAAAAAGTTTATATCAGCGAATTCGATTGAACGCACTTAGTGCGCATTGGTGCACATTAAAACTGTCATACACAAAATAAAAATATGTTTATAAATAAACATAGGAATTGATTAAATCATAAAATGCTCAATACATTTTATTATACTATTAGGTGAAATATGTACAATATTTATTTCATAATTTGAAATATTTGCATTTCATTTTTATACTCAAATGAAATTTTATATTCAAATGAAATCAGCGTACAACGGCTTTAATATGCATTAATGCTTCCAATTATGGCATTCGCCATAATATTATATACACGAAAAGTTGTTTTAGAGACATTGGAAAATTATTCAATAAAAAATATGAAATAAAAATTTATTTGAATGAAAAATCGTGTAGATTATATGTAAAATGTGAAATTTTATTTTATTTTTATTTACTTAGAATCTCGTTTTTTAATATATATTTGTATTTGTTGTTGTGTTGTTGTTGTTGTTGTTGTTGTTGTTGTTGTTATTATTATTATTATTATTATTATTATTATTATTATTATTATTTTATGCACTGCACTAGCATTAATGATAATCTCTCATCTTCAAGTAACTATTGATATTGAAAATATTTTTTGAAAATAGTTAATATTAAAGTTTGCTTACATTTTTATCAGGGTGAACTTTCAAGCCTAATGGGATCAGAAGAAAGGTCATTGAGCGCAGACGTAGCAACGTGGAATCCGTTTGAGGATGTACAACCTTTTAATCAGTTAACGGAAGATCATATCTTTGGTGCTGAATTTGATAAAATAAGGAGAGGAAGCAACACCAGTATTAGTGGGGTAAAAAGTCGCGAAAGCCTTGTTATGACATATACGGAATTACCAGAAGATCCTTTTGAATCTGCACCCTTTAGCCTGCCAAGTAAGTCTCGTTAAAATTCTAAAGGAATGTGTATAAAGTCTGACCCTTATATCTCGGAAATGATATGGTTATAGATATAGAAAAATGTTTTATACGAAAATTGTAGGATATTAAGGGGGAATGTAATGAAAATATTGACTTTGAGGAACCTTCTCAAGATTAAGTTAATGTGATTGATGTTTTCATAAATAGAACTCCCTATTTTTGATTGCATATTCTTATCTAGCTCACCCCGAGAACTTTTCACTACAATAAAATTCATTTTCATTTAGTACTTTTCGAGTTATGAGGATTGAAAGTTATATCAAAGCCATTATCAAAGTATTACACCCGAGATGTCCGAGCAGTGGCTAAAACCTTTTGAATGTTGTTCAAAATCATACTCTGAATAACAGGATCATGCTCTGGACTGATTTTTAATTATTAAGATCAAGATTATTAGAAGTTATTTCTCTTATTTTCATTTTTTCACTTAAAATTTACTTTTATGTACATATGAAAATAAGAGGAATGATCTTCAATGATCTTGCTATCCTATCCTACAACTTTCGTATGAAAGTTGTTCGTATGAAACGTTTTTCCATATATACAGTCGTTTTCGAGTCTGAGTTAGACTTTATAGATACTGTATGTTAGTCCTCCAAAATGAACATACATCTTTTATTATAAGATTGAAATATTTATTAATATTTTGATTCTTTCTTAGCGGGAAAGAAGAATAAAATCGGGTCAAAGACTGCTGCTATTGCTGGAGGTAATGCATAAAATCCTTCTTACACTATCCTTCATCATCTCTCTTCCTCCTCTTATTCCTGTATTAATCTATTAATCTATACTTGGTTTGAAAGTCATTCGCTCGCTATCTTAATACTTGGTTTCTTCCTTTTGCCATCATCGCTATGTGAGGTTTTGAAGCTGTAGTTATAACCATTGTCTTTCATCGTTTTCAATCTAAGTTGTATATCAAGTATGCCAGAAAATTTATGAAACTCAGTAGTTAGTTCATCAAATGACAAGTTCTGACAAACTGTTTATTTAAAATGTGATATATATGTGAAGAGATTTTTTTCTTTTTATGCATATGGAATATGCATAATTTCATTAGTTTAACATTTGTTTCTTATACATCAGTATATATAAAGCTTTATATATATAAAGCTTTATAGATGTAGTTTACAATATAAATACTAAAATATAATAAGTTTAATTTTTGAATTTTTTATTATAATTAATTTTTAATTTACTAAATTAAAATTTATTAAATTAAAATTTA